CAGCAAAACAGACAGGGGATGGAAAATGAGAGAGACATGGTCATAACAACTCACAATTCAAGTATCCCTGTGCATTTTCTACAATGAAAATCATGATGAGGGAATGCCCGTTTCTACAGCCTCGGTAAAATTAATTTGGACACACTTGGATACTTCTGAGGAGACAGCATCGTGCCTTCCTTCGGAGGCTCCAGAAATCAAATATCCTCCAGTAAGATTTTGCTGTAGAAGCATTTCACTGAAATGTCAGTGTTCTAAGTCATGCAGCTTGTCAGACCCTTGTCCCTAGACACTGTGACCTTGTAAAATGAATTTAAAGCATAGCATCACATACCTTGCCAAATTTCCATGTATACATCAGGCAGGTCTGCATTGTTTCTTGAAAGCCCACAAAACAAAAGGATGATGGAAGGAACGCTCTCAGAATTCCATGTGAACACAGCACCACCTTGTCTACTCGCCTTAAATCCTCTCCAAAAGGTAAAATATATTCAGTGATATCTGTTGGTCCTCTGATCTCAGGTATTGACCATTTTAAAACATATTAGCAATACATAGGAACAGCTGTTGCTCTTCCAGAACAAGGTCTTGCTATATCCATACTGAAAGTTTAGAGTGATTTGCTCCCTTCTGAAAGTGTCCATTATAAGTGATATGAGAGATGATTTTGGACCTTCATATCCTTGTTCCATAGAATACATAAACCCAAGTAGGAGGCATGATTCACCTAGGAACAGTCCTAGAAACAGTCACATTTTATTTTTCTTAGTCTGAAATCAGCCATGTTTTTAGATAATTGTCACAAACACAACAGAATTTTCTCCTACAAAACCACACCATGTACCCGTAAATGAAGAAGCCCCAATTCACAGCAAGAGTTCAGAAAATACTGCACCTCAGCTTTCTCTGAGCACTTGCAAATATACAGACCAGATTTATTCTCTACAGCACACAAGAGGAGCAAGGCATAAACGTTTCCAGCACCTGACTGTACAGCAGAGATCTGGTACAGCAGCTCCAAGCTGCTGATTCCAAGCTGTATTAGTGTAGACTCCCCGTGCTTTCAGGTGAGGGTAAAACTCAATTAGAAATGGTTCCACAAACACATATTGCAAAATTAATTCTTTTAATAACTAAGAGAGTGATTTTGCCCACAGTCAGTACCTGAGTTGGAAGATCTGAACTAAGCAATAAATTATAGCAATTGGTCTTTCCCATCATGCTGGACAACCATTAAAGGAAACAAATCATTAATGGAGTGAAAAAGATCTGCCTCACTGAAAGGACCAAAAAAACCACAAAGAGTATTTTTTCATGGAACAGCAGCCCAGTAATAACTCCTCATTTATTAAGGTCAAAGAACTAGCAACCCAAATGGAGGATGGCAGCTTTTCATCATCCCCTGTAACATTTATTCTTCTACAGAGTTGGCTCCAGTAAGTCATTTTCCATCCAGGAAATGTGAGTATTATCCGGTTTCATGTGGTAGACCCAGGATTCTTATCCAATTCCTACCCACCCCTGTTCCAGAAGTTGTAAAGAATGGGAAGATGTTCAACAAGCAGCTGTGCATATCTGAAACTACTTCAGTTATCCAAGCAGAACTGTCAATGCAGACACAACAGAATGCCAAGCTAAGAGGTCTACATTAAGTAAAGGTCTATAAATTCAAATGCTTAACTCAATTTGCTCCTTAAAGTTTCTTTGTTTAATCACCTTGGGTGTTCAATGGGCATCTGTTTTCTCAGAGAATGGCCAGAGGGTATGTGGTTTCTGCTTCTGTAATTTTAAAGTCACATTCTTTTAAGCAAGCAGATTAAGCAGGTTTGTGTCTGAATGGCCACGACACTTTGGGTACTGCTGTGGTATCTGTGTAAGCCTGTCATGAACTTCAATGTGTTTGACAATCTGACTTGGCACCAGCACCACACCCGGGGCTGCCACATGTACCACCTCCCCTCAGCACCATCCCCTTTCCTCCTCCTCTCCCTGCCAGCAGCTGGGAAAGACAGTTGCTGAGGATCTGGGAGCAGTGGGAAGCTGGGTTCACACAGGGAATGAGCCCTTGTTTCAGAAGGTAAATATTCAAATGCTATCACCCATCAGCACAGGAAAGTCAGCTTACACTGAATTCCCCAACACAACCCTGTTGTTTTTCTTCTGAACAAAACAATGCTGTCTGTGCAACTGTGATGCCTCACTGACAGCTTCAACACCGAGAGAAGGCAAAGCCAGGTTTCTTCCCACTGCACTTCAGGAATACTTTAATAACCAGTAAGATTCAGATCAGCTTTAATCAAAGCATGAGGAGCTGTGTATTTAAGCAAGAATAACTTGTATTCAAATAATCATTACTGATGTCAAATTAAAGTTTTGAGTCATTACCCTTTAAATGTCAGTGAGCAGAGCATGTCATTCACATCCATGGTCTCGATGAGCACACAGCCTCAGACACGAAAGAATCAGTGTTCACTCATCAACATGAAGTGCTGTTTCTTTTCCAAGTAAAATATCCAGTAAACACTTCAGCATTTTCTTTGATTTGAAATTACAGTAAAGGGGGGGGGGATGTTTTTCAGGTGATACTGAAAAGCACAACAATTTTAAAATTTTTTTTTTAAACCATCAAGTAGATTCACAAAAGTTGCTGAAATGAAACACAACAAAGACCTTCCCAGTAGCTACTGCCTTGCAGTTGCCTTTTTATGAGCAGAAACTTCATTACATAGTGAAATCCTTAAACCAGTGTTGGACAGGCACCACACACGATCAGAACAAATGAATTCTCACTCATTTTCAAAAGAACAGCTTCCTTTTGCTATTACAGCAGCAATCCAGACCCCAGACTGCACCTATATATGAAGATTCACGCTGGAACAAGGCAGTTCTTCACAAACCCCATCAATTTTTTGGAAGGATACTGAACAAAAGATTGCCTGTATCTTGCAAAGTAAGAACAGTGCAACAAAATCTTTTATTGCTGACCAGGAAACAGTTTCATGTGAGTAAAACAAACACTTGTGCCCTTGTTCAAAAACAGTCAGATAATTAAGAAGTATCAGACACTAATCATGTCCATACAGTTTAAGTCTGCTTCCTTGTGTACAAACACAAGAAAAACAAATCACTATTTTTTTCTGCAAAACTAAGCCTTATATTCACCGTGAGACTTTTTTGAGTGAAATGAAGGCAATGGTTCTGGTACAGTGAATAGCTTCTCATGAAGTTATCTTAGCAAGGAAGAAGGTTCTGCAGGAAGAGTATGCCTGGACACTGTTAAAAAATATACACAAGGAGGCAGGACTGATGAGAAGCTACATGTAACCTTAGATTCACAGCCTTACTACTGCAACTCTGCAAAATACAAAACGATTTTATAGGAAAAGTTTTAAATAAAACATCTTTTACATGATTGCAAGTGCATAGTTTACAAGTTCAGCCTTGTCTGCCTGTTGTCAGTTTTACAGCAAAGAGGGACAATGCTTTGACAGATGACAATACAGGATAAGCCCTTTATCACGTTTCACTTTTATTGAACACCTTCTGCAAACGCAGATTACAACCCTGGGTTAGGCTGCACGCATCAACTTAAGCCATAAGAAATCAATACTTTTTGAAATCCAAATCCTAGTGGTGAGGGGTTAGGTAGTGGTTGATTTCTGCAGTTAGAGAAATTACAACAGTGTTAAGTGTCACTCATAAAAGCAGTATGGTGCAAGAGGCTCTTTGGTGCCAAAAAATCGTCAGTGATGCATTTATGAATGCTACTGAGTAGAAAGCAATCTAATTTACAACTCTTCCTCGCAGTGCTATAGAAACATTAAAGGACTCTGGAGACTCCCCTACCTTGAACATCTGCGAAGAAATATCACCATTACAGAAAAGCTGTATAAAAATCAATGACAAAAGACTGAAATCAGAAGGTATATCCTATCTTTCATCCTGAAATACAGGTCAGGTACGGCCCAGCTCTACAGCAGGCATATTAAATAATCAGATTTAAAGTGATCTACACATTGAGACCTGAAAGATCACTGCCTTAATCTCACACCCAGTTATATGGGCATTTAAGTGGCAATGTACTTGCATCATCTAAATCCTCAGTAAGAACATACTGCTTATATACCAGCATGCATCCAGAGCACAGTCTATGTCCAACACCTACAGTTATGTAGAAACCCCAGATTTCAAGTGAAGTCTAAGAAACCCTAAAGTAACTCGCAGTTTATACCTCTACTGACTCGTGATTTTTTCAAACAGCTGAGTGTAACAAAAACACAGACTTACTGGTGAGGTTTTTTCCCCAAACTACAATGTATAGGCCGATCCTCGCGTAGATATTCACATATGTACAAAATGTATAGAAAAACAAGAGTCCTGCAGACAAGCTCCCTATCTTGAGTGGAGAAACACTGGGTACAGCAGAAAGGAGAGCCAGAGATAAAGGGCTGATTCTGTCCCCACGAGCACTCGTGGTTCCACACTCCCTTCAGTCATTATTGCAAGCATGAGGTGCCCAGAGCCACAGGGACCTCTGGGCACAGCTGAGCCGACTGACTGAGCTGCTCTGCCAATATATCTCACCTTCTACCCCGTCTAAAAGTCAAGAACTACTTCACATGTCAACAGGAGAGGAGGAGAAGCCCCCTTGTGTGATTTGCTACAGCAATCAGGGTGGTTGTTTGCACAGCCTGGCTGGGTTTGACATCACTGCAAGTCTCCGTTTCAAAACAGACTATTCTAACTCCCAACACCTGCATGGTAAGAAACAGAAAAGGTAAAATGTACAGCTCCTCAGACACTCACTTAGAAACTATCATCTCTAGATTAATCAAACTTTCTGTTTCTTTTAAAATGCAAGTTTGCTTCACTGAACTATCACTGCAAATCCTACTCACCCTGTTCCAAGGGTGCTGCCTCGGCGTGTTCCAGAACACAGCTGAGACATTTGCACCCTCTAGCTGTCATGGGGAGGACACAGTACTTATCTCTAACTTACATTCATTTTCAACTTCAAATTTATTGAGGCAGTTTGTATCAATGTATCCATAAAATAATTCAGAAATAACCCAAGTATACCATTTAAACATCTTCATGATTTATCCATTTACACACTCAGTACACAAACAACCCAGCCTCTGTACAGGTTCATCACATGCAAACCACCCAGAAAGACAAAAACTTTAATTAAAAATAAGTCACAACTCAGTGTACTGTTTCAACTGCATCTCCGTTTACCAAATGGCACATTGAATATTCTCTAAAATAAGATGTTTTTAACAATCTTGTTAAAAAATTCTTGGGCAAAATATTTCTAGACTTAAAAAACATCAAGATTTTTCAAAACACTCAAGATACTATACAACTTATAATAACCTTGAAAGAGGTTTACAAGGTTGTTAACCAAGGTATTTACATACCAAATAATGTAAAGCAAAAAATTTGTATTTCTAATGACAAAAAGGTGATGCATTAAAGATTTATGAAATTAAAATTAAGGCTCTTTGTTATAGTTCTTTATGTAACTTTACATATTAGCCAACTTTGGAAATGTCAGTCTTGCACATTCTCGTCAATCTACTGCATTTAAAGCAGTAGAGTATATTAAGTATTACTTTGAATAATTACATTGCTACCTCTATGTTTGAGCATGCTTTTGAAACACTGTAATTATGAAATATTTACAATGTGTAGCCTTCAAACTTTATGTAAAAGCCCAAGTATGACTGTCTGATTTCAATACAAACAACATACTTGTAAAAACGTTTTTACTTCTCAAAATTAAAAGTAAATTACTGCAGTTTTAACAAGCAAACCAGCTCTGAAAAGTTTTAACGTGTGCCTGAATGTGGACAGTAAAAGTTATGCAAAATTTCTCAGACAGTACTGTTTTTCATTTCAGACTGAACTATTTGTTGTATCAGACTGTTCTCTTTAAGCATGTAGAAAAATTAAATATTTTTTTAAAAAAATTATTCCAAGACCTACATACCCTTTTGAGCTATGCCCATAGGTTTCTTGAAAACTCAATACTGTCTCCCAGCTTGTAGTGATTGGTCCACAGTTTATTTCAGGATGTGTGTTCAGCTAAAAGCAACTTGCTGTTTTCCAACCTCATTTCTCTTTTAAAAGCACAATGATATAAAACACTGACGACAAAACAAAAAAAAATAATGGAATGGTAACCTAAGGATCAAATTTGTTAGCCATTTCTCCTACTATATCAAAATTTGTAGTCAGAATTGTCTTTATTGACTTTATTTTTAATTTTTGTACACAAAGAAAAACATGTTCATATCCATCATGAACAAAAACTTAAAAAGGCAGAACTAGAAGACATTTGTGTCCTTCACCAAAGCAAAGCTGTGCTAAAGGTTCCAAACATTTCCATTTTTTAAAATAAATATTTTCTTTTTTCATTGTCTACATTCCAGTCTTCAGAATGTCACTGGAAACTGCAGCCTATCATGAAATACACACTTTAAAACAGAGTCCCAGCTCACTGTGTTTGGTAACTTGCCATACCATATCCAGCTTGGTTAGGTATTACAGGAGCACCTTGTCCCTGGGCAGGCTGAGCACCAAATCCACCCATCCAGGCAGCAGATGGAGATTGGCTTAAAAAGAAACAGGATAGTTAAAAAAAGGGGAAAAATTATTTACTAGACAACATACTAAAAAAAACCAAAAACATATTTCCCACACGATCTTTGTACCAAAACAGAACAATTTCTTCTTCTCTTCAATGAGTAATTCAGGTTAAACATTACAACATGTGATTCTTGAAAATATCATGAACTTTTCAAGAATAAAGGAGAAAAAAAAAGCCCCACAAACCTTGGGCACTGGTTGCATAGGGCACCCACCTCCAAAGGCATGTCCACACACAAGTGGCTGAAAGTGAACATCAGTGATCCAGAAATGCAAAAAATACCCAGTGCCTCACTGGCATGAATACAGTGATAGCTTTATCAGGTATTAAGATGTTTAACTGGCAGCAGATAATGAAGATAACTTGAGTAAAACAAGTTATTTCAAAATACCCAGGGTCCCTGGCTCACACTCTCCAGTACTCACCAGTTCCAGTCAGAATCCACCATGTGTTGAGGTATCAGACAAGACCACCCCAAACTCCACCACAGAGGTGGTGTTTGTGCCTTCCCACCCCCATGGACTGTGCCATCAGGCAGAAGCCAGAGGGACTCACCCGGGTGTGTGTCCGTGGAAATCACCAAACACAAGCTTTAAGCACACAGGAGCCCACCCAAGGTTTGACACCTTGTGCAGTCCTTGACCTAAGCGAGCCTGAAACTCAGATGCTGCATTCTTGGAATAGCCTACAAAACTCAATAAAATTACTTACTCTACTCCAAAACCCTGTTGATTCCATGCTTGGCCATACATTCCATAGGATGGCACTTGCCACCCGTTAGCCATGTACTGCCCGTACTGCTGGGGATTCCCATAGACCTGGCTCCACTGCCCCCACTGGCTGTAATCCACCTGGGGAGAGAACAGTCCATCACACTTCAGCTTCCACACGTGGCTTAGGGTGCATTTGTGCTGCTGAAGGCAGTTTTGGCTCTATCAATCACAGGGCTACAACAGGCAATAATGAGATCAGAAGAATAAGACACCACTGATTTAATGAGATCCTTGTACTGAACAATGCATTTGGGTGTGCTTGAAATACCAAAGACTATCTGGTTGGACAGTCCCCTGGTCTGCAGTTAGAGAAACAGCAAGAATCAGAATTACCTCAAAGTTTCTCCCTATCTTGAATCATATCCAGAAGACAGTAACAGATATTCCATCAAAATCACTAGCCCAATTTGATGAACAACTGGAACATAACTGAGACAGAACATGGACTTTCATAAGAACTCCATAAAATTTACCCATTACAACTGGGAAGGCATTACAAGTATACATGCAATCGCTTCTGTAATGCAAAGAAAAGGTTAAACTGCAGTTACCTGTTGGAAGTTTTTAGTCATATCAGGGGATTCTTTACCCCAATAACACTTAACAACATGTCCTTCAATTGTGGTTCCATTAACTGAAACAATAGCATGTGCTGCACTTTCATGGGTTGAAAATCTAAAGAATGTAAAAACAAAATAATGTTATGCTATACAGGACTTCCACCTTACTGTTAAAATACACTGACTCCATACATACAGCAAATCCAGGGAAAAACATCTGCTTACACAAACATTCATCTTCTCAGGTAAAAAGATTGGTGGCCACTTTTAAAAGTTCCAAATTATTCTATGAACATATGGTGACAGCTTTTAATGCATCAGGAGAAATTCAATCAAGTGAAATTACAGAAAGATGAAACATTACTACATGCACAGACCCACAGATCTGACTTTTCTTTGTCCATACCTGACAAATGAGTAACCTTTTTCTGGAAACACCCTTATTTCCATAATCTGTCCAAATGGGGAAAAAGTCTGTCTCATAAGTTGATCTACAACATAAAAAGTTTTCAAATTAATAACTGTCTTGGTGTCCAAGAAGCTTCAATAATAAAAAAGCAATAAAACAGTTCATACCTGTTAGCCCAGAGGCAATTCCTCCACAGTACACAGTACAATTTTTTGGACTTGACTGATTTACTACATCTTCAAATCTCAATTGTTTTGTGTTATCTATAAAGAGAAAAGGCTGGTTTTCAGCAGTGGGACAACAGTAAGTTCCAGATACTCACCTTGTACACCAGTATGAATTTCACATTTAAGAAAAACATTCAATATTTTATGACAGACCTGTATTGCCACCACTCTACCAAAAAATCTACTCTTTAAGATCTGGAAGGCAAGCTAGATGTGTAATTGAAGTGACACGAGTTTTGCTCATGTTTTATTCCCCCACTGAGCAGTGACATGCAAGCAAACACAACACAGCATGACATGAGGGCCTTACTTTCTTGTGTACTTTTGGGGGCTGGTGGTTTCCGCGTTGCCCAGTTAGTTCTGATCTGGCGGCCTCCCAACCACTGGCCTCCCATGTGTACAATAGCGTTTTCTGCATCCTGGGGACACCAAAACAAAGGTTACAACACTTCCAAGCAAGAAGCTACTTCTAAGAAAGACTTGGTTGTCTGTTAATTCTGTTGACAAAATCAGTAACAGTACTAAGAAGTGTAGGAAACTCAGAACAATCCCAGCAAGCAGCCAAAAACTAACTGACACAAAGGCAACTGGTTACAGAGAAGGCCTTCAGAAGTCATCTGATAAAAGCTTCCTCCCACCCATTTTCTAAACACAGGTTAGAATCCAACTGCAATCACACACATACTACCTGAACATATGCCACATATATATATACATACACTCATATCTATACCATATATATGTATACTATACAAGCACCTCTATTAGAATATTCAAAAGCTGCCCAAAAAAGTGCACAAGTCATACAGATGCCAGAAGCAATTACTGAAATAAAAAACTATCATTGAAAAAAAAAAATAAAAAATTTGCCAACTGATCATACTAAAAATGAAGAAGTATATTTAACAGTAACAGACGAAAAGTCAAAATACTTGAACAGTCAAAATCCCTCACTAGAAAATATTTTAGATATAACCTAAGTAAAATGTACACCATGCAGTAGGTGTTTGCAAAAGACCTTGTATAAGATCTAAATGTGGGGGGTTTTTTCAGAATCTTACTGTGCACTCAACATAACAGATCAAGTTTAGGTAGAAAAACTCCAAGTTCTGGGAGGGCTAAATGGTAGTTACAAAGCAGCTGTAATGCTGAGATACAAACGACTGAGTGTTTAAGTTTGCTTTTATTTATGATTTGCACAAGTCCTCCTGTCTGCTCTCTGCAGACATGCAGTAGATGTCTGAATAGACTGCTCTGTAAGTTCTCTAAATATTACAGTTCTCTAAAAATTGCATGAACACACACAAGAGTTCACAGCCCACGTGGCTTAAATTCTTATCTTGAACATGACTTAGAAAACTATCTAAGTTCACACTGGAAGGAGAAACATTGAGTAAGCAAGGGATAAGTTTGCTAACACCTGCAAGAAGCATTTTTTTCCCCAGCTGCTTGGAAAGAAGAGAGGCAGAGCAAATAGTCCATGTTTGGAATGCTTTTCCAAGGGCACAAAGTTACATCAAAAATCCGCCAAGCACAAGGGCCAAAGGAAACAAGGACCAGTTACAGGTGAGCTCTCAGCATCGTCCTGCCTCACACTGAAGGCTTCTCTTCTCAACACTCTTCTCAAACTCACTCAGGACCTTGATATTTTTAAGTTTTAATTACACAGAGTGCTCATTTTGAAAAATATACAGAAGTGAAATTATGGAAGATGGCCAATAATAATAATAATAATAATAACAACAACAGAAAAAACCCTAACAGACAAAACCAAATCACCAGACAATAAAACCCCCATATTTATTCAAGCACCCTTCTCTCCCAAAACATAGTGAATAAGTTACAAGCTGAGTAGGAAAGGAAACTACCTCTAATGAATCTTGCTGCTAGTTTTGAGGATCACAGCTGTGACAAAAATGGAACAGAGCCCAGGTCACAACTGATCCAGTTTAACACAGGAGTTTAATTTGCTCTTAACTGTGGAATGCATTAAGACCTCAGGCTGGAGTACCTGAAGTCTGGGAACATACCCAATTCCCCGAATGTAGAAGAATGACAATAAATTCTCAAAAACAGGCCTTAAACTACAAGCTCAGGATGGTTGTACCATAACCCTCCAGGTACAGCTGCTGTGTGAAAGAAGAGCAACCAGGACATAAAATTTAGAAGTACTTATTAGTGCTACATTTAGAATTCATGCAGCAATTCTGTAGAATAAAGACAAATTTTAAATTGGAGTCTTCATGGCTCAGTCTGAAAAGTATCCACTGACTTTCATTCCATGACTGCTGCAACATTTCCCCTCCAGTCACAGAAGCTGAACACAACTGTAAGGTAAGGGAAGAGGGTACAAGGAAATAAAAGAGCTATTCCTTATCTATTGCAGCTGTAACAGGGTCAACAAAACATCAGGGGAAAAATACACTAAATCAAGGCACCCAATTGCAGTATCTTATGGCATCTGCACATCTGAAGGAAAGAAATTCCAACTTTTTCTTCTGATTACAACATCTTCTGTTACAGAAGAGCCAAAGAGATTCCTGGCAGGTAAGGCTTATGACCACACAAACAGGCTTTATATGCTAAAATGCTGAACTGTGTGTGCTTTTCCTAGACATAATAATATTTAAGGAAAATGATTAAGTTTTCCCATGTTGTCCTAGTTGCACATACAGCTCCTGTACATGTACACTGATTTCCCTCGGTGAAGTTAATAAATAGCAAATACATAAACGAGCAAACTAAAACAGGAAAGCAGGAACTACTTTAAATCTCCACTGTGATTACTCACCAGTTTGTTATAAAAAGATACAAAACCATAGCCTTTTGACTTTCCAGTTGCCATATCTTTAACTACCCGTGCATCCCTGTGAAAAGAAGCACAGCTATATGAGGGTAATATTAATAACCTGCAAAATAAAAACTAAAAGGAACCACACACACTGTATTGTGAGCATAATTTTTTCTTATAAATTCAGTTAGCCCTAAAACTACAGTCATTCCTGAACTCTCCCCTATTGCTTCTTTACCTGTTAGAAAAAAGCAGTAGGACAAAAAAAATAACATGTAATAAACATGCAACCTATGCACATAACCTATGCTGGCTATAACTAGAATGTTCAAATTTGAAGTATAAGAGAAACAAAGTTTCCTTTTCTAATATTCTATTGGCTAGGGTCCTCTAAGGTTTACTGTTCTATAAATTACTGTAACAATTCTATCTAATTTACCATGCATTTTCTAAATAGTTAAATGTCTTCTGCCTAGTGATACAAAATATATGAAATATTAAAAAAATCGAAAAAGAGGAAAAAATAGGAATTAAAAGGCATACATGGCCTGTTAACAGATTTCTTTATTTTTCTTGGTCAATTCTCTACCATCATTTTGGAGTTTGGGTAGCTGTAAATTTTGAAAAATTGACATTTTCAGAAATTTAAGAAAGGAGAATAAAACTAACAACAATGCTAAGCACACCAGTACGAAAACAACAAATTTACACAGAAATTTTAGTGAGTAAGTTAAAATGATTGGAAATATAGAACTGCACTGAATATAGAATGTTAAAATGTAAATACTAAAATATGTATATATAAATAATGTATAATAAGAATAAATAGAAATGAGAAAAAATCTACAACTGAGTTCCAGTGTGCACAGTTCCTTGCAGTTAGCCTTCAAGATCCTGTCCATTCTTATGAGCAATTCTGCAAAATAACCAGAATGCTATTACTTTTAATTGTGACTTGGACTTTAGAAAAACTGCAGGTCTCAGGTATAAATATAGATCGAGAAACAGAAACCTGAATTATTCTCTTTAAATTGATTTTTAAAACAGTACTACTTACCACATTAAGAGACAAAAAGCAAAGTAAACAAAACAGCAGAGGTAAGAAATAAGATTTATGATTCATTTAAAAATACGCGTACAGAACAAGAGAAAAATAAGAATTTTGTTCTTAGAAATATATTCCTGTAAAGTAGTACAAAAACCTTCATGTGCAACTTTTAAAGATTTTTATAAAGATAACGTGATAGAAGATTAACACTTTTTTTTTCAGAACTCTTAAGCACATATATATTTTAGCACTCACAAGGATTCTTGTAATGTTCAGTATGTTCAATTAGGACACCAGGTGATTCAGCATCACCTGAATTGTCTATGAGAAGTTTAAAGAAACATTTTCTTAACTGGCAGAAATGTGCACATATTATAAAGCCACCATTCTTTAAGATATTATAATCTTAATTCATCCCATTATTATCCAAAAAAAGGAGATTTCATTCTCATAAGTACCAGCTTTTTTCAAGACATTCACAAGTTATTAACTGGCTGCTTCACAGAATTATATTCCAATTGCCCAATTTTCCATACTGCCTATGAAATGCAGTATGAACCCCCAAGAAACACACAAGGATAACACAGATACCAGTTTTTAAGTCACTGCTCTGTACATCAAATTCTCAACACCGAAAAGTCACACTTAGGAACAGTAATTAAATTGTAATAAAAAGTTGAAGGACATCAGCATATAAATTAGGTTAAAAGCACATTGCTTGCAGCAAATCAGAGCACAATTACATTACTGTATTTACAACCATGAGAGATACTGAGATACAACCCCTCTTTACTACCCACCCATCCACCCACCCCAGCAAAATTAATAACATCAGAAAAATTCTCTCATTAGATAAGAAATAACATTTCATCTTAGAAACAAATTCTATCATATTTTCTGACTGCTATTGGAAATGTTTATGATGATACTTACGATATTTTACCGAAAGGAGCAAATGCTGACTTGATGTCTTCTGTTGTTATTTCTGGACTTAAATCCCCAACGAACACATGGAAGTGATCTGAAAATAAATAATTTACTAATCAAATATTTAACTGCTATCTAAAGCTGTAACTCCTGAGAAGGTGATGTTCTGCACACGGGACTGGGAACCAGGAACGCTCAGGACTCCATTTGATGAGCAGCAGCAATTTAATCTGTCCACTCCTGTTTCCCCAGTTGTAAAGCACAAACAGAAGAATTAGTTTGCAAAATTCTATTAAACACAAGATGGGAAGGAGAGAAGTTATGTTTCAATGCATTTATGACAAATCATTACCAGGCTGTGAAGTATTTGTGTAGAAGTGATACTGTGGCATTACATTACTTACTGGATGTATCTTTTTTCTGGCTACTTGGTGTTGTTGCCCAGTTTACTTTGACCTCCTGAAAACAAGTATAAGATTTAGTATGAATTCACAAAATTATTACATCAATAAGTTCATTCAAGGGTGGGTTACAACTGTCAATGTTTACAAATCATCATTCAGTATAAACCACCATCATAACTAGAACATCACAAACGATACATTTCTTAAACAAGACACACTTTTTTTAAAGTCAGTATTTTAAAAATATTATTCTAACAGTACTAAAACTTGGTAAACATCTTCAACAGCTTTATTAATACTTTCACAGAAATCTATATTGTTTAAATCTAAGATTACAATGTAAGCAACTTACCTTTCCCAAAATTTTTCTCCCATTCATAGCAGCTAATGCAGCAGCTGCATCTCTGTGTTCATAAAATTCCACAAAGCAATAAGGGTCATTGCTTGTATGCTGCAAAACAGAAAATCCAACAGAAGAGTTGACCCTTCTGCTATCGGGTTGCTGAGAAGAAAATCCAGGAAAATATATTACTCATAGCTAGAAACTTTCAGAATGATTTGCATCAGATTNGTGTGATTTGCTACAGCAATCAGGGTGGTTGTTTGCACAGCCTGGCTGGGTTTGACATCACTGCAAGTCTCCGTTTCAAAACAGACTATTCTAACTCCCAACACCTGCATGGTAAGAAACAGAAAAGGTAAAATGTACAGCTCCTCAGACACTCACTTAGAAACTATCATCTCTAGATTAATCAAACTTTCTGTTTCTTTTAAAATGCAAGTTTGCTTCACTGAACTATCACTGCAAATCCTACTCACCCTGTTCCAAGGGTGCTGCCTCGGCGTGTTCCAGAACACAGCTGAGACATTTGCACCCTCTAGCTGTCATGGGGAGGACACAGTACTTATCTCTAACTTACATTCATTTTCAACTTCAAATTTATTGAGGCAGTTTGTATCAATGTATCCATAAAATAATTCAGAAATAACCCAAGTATACCATTTAAACATCTTCATGATTTATCCATTTACACACTCAGTACACAAACAACCCAGCCTCTGTACAGGTTCATCACATGCAAACCACCCAGAAAGACAAAAACTTTAATTAAAAATAAGTCACAACTCAGTGTACTGTTTCAACTGCATCTCCGTTTACCAAATGGCACATTGAATATTCTCTAAAATAAGATGTTTTTAACAATCTTGTTAAAAAATTCTTGGGCAAAATATTTCTAGACTTAAAAAACATCAAGATTTTTCAAAACACTCAAGATACTATACAACTTATAATAACCTTGAAAGAGGTTTACAAGGTTGTTAACCAAGGTATTTACATACCAAATAATGTAAAGCAAAAAATTTGTATTTCTAATGACAAAAAGGTGATGCATTAAAGATTTATGAAATTAAAATTAAGGCTCTTTGTTATAGTTCTTTATGTAACTTTACATATTAGCCAACTTTGGAAATGTCAGTCTTGCACATTCTCGTCAATCTACTGCATTTAAAGCAGTAGAGTATATTAAGTATTACTTTGAATAATTACATTGCTACCCCTATGTTTGAGCATGCTTTTGAAACACTGTAATTATGAAATATTTACAATGTGTAGCCTTCAAACTTTATGTAAAAGCCCAAGTATGACTGTCTGATTTCAATACAAACAACATACTTGTAAAAACGTTTTTACTTCTCAAAATTAAAAGTAAATTACTGCAGTTTTAACAAGCAAACCAGCTCTGAAAAGTTTTAACGTGTGCCTGAACGTGGACAGTAAAAGTTATCCGAAATTTCTCAGACAGTACTGTTTTTCATTTCAGACTGAACTATTTGTTGTATCAGACTGTTCTCTTTAAGCATGTAGAAAAATTAAATATTTTTTTAAAAAAATTATTCCAAGACCTACATACCCTTTTGAGCTATGCCCATAGGTTTCTTGAAAACTCAATACTGTCTCCCAGCTTGTAGTGATTGGTCCACAGTTTATTTCAGGATGTGTGTTCAGCTAAAAGCAACTTGCTGTTTTCCAACCTCATTTCTCTTTTAAAAGCACAATGATATAAAACACTGACGACAAAACAAAAAAAAATAATGGAATGGTAACCTAAGGATCAAATTTGTTAGCCATTTCTCCTACTATATCAAAATTTGTAGTCAGAATTGTCTTTATTGACTTTATTTTTAATTTTTGTACACAAAGAAAAACATGTTCATATCCATCATGAACAAAAACTTAAAAAGGCAGAACTAGAAGACATTTGTGTCCTTCACCAAAGCAAAGCTGTGCTAAAGGTTCCAAACATTTCCATTTTTTAAAATAAATATTTTCTTTTTTCATTGTCTACATTCCAGTCTTCAGAATGTCACTGGAAACTGCAGCCTATCATGAAATACACACTTTAAAACAGAGTCCCAGCTCACTGTGTTTGGTAACTTGCCATACCATATCCAGCTTGGTTAGGTATTACAGGAGCACCTTGTCCCTGGGCAGGCTGAGCACCAAATCCACCCATCCAGGCAGCAGATGGAGATTGGCTTAAAAAGAAACAGGACAGTTAAAAAAAGGGGAAGAATTATTTACTAGACAACATACTAAAAAAAAACAAAAACATATTTCCCACACGATCTTTGTACCAAAACAGAACAATTTCTTCTTCTCTTCAATGAGTAATTCAGGTTAAGCATTACAACATGTGATTCTTGAAAATATCATGAACTTTTCAAGAATAAAGGAGAAAAAAAAAGCCCCACAAACCTTGGGCACTGGCTGCATAGGGCACCCACCTCCAAAGGCATGTCCACACAAGTGGCTGAAAGTGAACATCAGTGATCCAGAAATGCAAAAAATACCCAGTGCCTCACTGGCATGAATACAGTGATAGCTTTATCAGGTATTAAGATGTTTAACTGGCAGCAGATAATGAAGATAACTTGAGTAAAACAAGTTATTTCAAAATACCCAGGGTCCCTGGCTCACACTCTCCAGTACTCACCAGTTCCAGTCAGAATCCACCATGTGTTGAGGTATCAGACAAGACCACCACAGAGGTGGTGTTTGTGCCTTCCCACCCCCATGGACTGTGCCATCAGGCAGAAGCCAGAGGGACTCACCCAGGTGTGTGTCCGTGGAAATCACCAAACACAAGCTTTAAGCACACAGGAGCCCACCCAAGGTTTGACACCTTGTGCAGTCCTTTGACCTAAGTGAGCCTGAAACTCAGATGCTGCATTCTTGGAATAGCCTACAAAACTCAATAAAATTACTTACTCTACTCCAAAACCCTGTTGATTCCATGCTTGGCCATACATTCCATAGGATGGCACTTGCCACCCGTTAGCCATGTACTGCCCGTACTGCTGGGGATTCCCATAGACCTGGCTCCACTGCCCCCACTGGCTGTAATCCACCTGGGGAGAGAACAGTCCATCACACTTCAGCTTCCACACGTGGCTTAGGGTGCATTTGTGCTGCTGAAGGCAGTTTTGGCTCTATCAATCACAGGGCTACAACAGGCAATAATGAGATCAGAAGAATAAGACACCACTGATTTAATGAGATCCTTGTACTGAACAATGCATTTGGGTGTGCTTGAAATATCAAAGACTATCTGGTTGGACAGTCCCCTGGTCTGCAGTTAGAGAAACAGCAAGAATCAGAATTACCTCAAAGTTTCTCCCTATCTTGAATCATATCCAGAAGACAGTAACAGATATTCCATCAAAATCACTAGCCCAATTTGATGAACAACTGGAACATAACTGAGACAGAACATGGACTTTCATAAGAACTCCATAAAATTTACCCATTACAACTGGGAAGGCATTACAAGTATACATGCAATCGCTTCTGTAATGCAAAGAAAAGGTTAAACTGCAGTTACCTGTTGGAAGTTTTTAGTCATATCAGGGGATTCTTTACCCCAATAACACTTAACAACATGTCCTTCAATTGTGGTTCCATTAACTGAAACAATAGCATGTGCTGCACTTTCATGGGTTGAAAATCTAAAGAATGTAAAAACAAAATAATGTTACGCTTTACAGGACTTCCACCTTACTGTTAAAATACACTGACTCCATACATACAGCAAATCCAGGGAAAAACATCTGCTTTCACAAACATTCATCTTCTCAGGTAAAAAGATTGGTGGCCACTTTTAAAAGTTCCAAATTATTCTATGAACATATGGTGACAGCTTTTAATGCATCAGGAGAAATTCAATCAAGTGAAATTACAGAAAGATGAAACATTACTACATGCACAGACCCACAGATCTGACTTTTTTTTGTCCATACCTGACAAATGAGTAACCTTTTTCTGGAAACACCCTTATTTCCATAATCTGTCCAAATGGGGAAAAAGTCTGTCTCATAAGTTGATCTACAACATAAAAAGTTTTCAAATTAATAACTGTCTTGGTGTCCAAGAAGCTTCAATAATAAAAAAGCAATAAAACAGTTCATACCTGTTAGCCCAGAGGCAATTCCTCCACAGTACACAGTACAATTTTTTGGACTTGACTGATTTACTACATCTTCAAATCTCAATTGTTTTGTGTTATCTATAAAGAGAAAAGGCTGGTTTTCAGCAATGGGACAACAGTAAGTTCCAGATACTCACCTTGTACACCAGTATGAATTTCACATTTAAGAAGAACATTCAATATTTTATGACAGACCTGTATTGCCACCACTCTACCAAAAAATCTACTCTTTAAGATCTGGAAGGCAAGCTAGATGTGTAATTGAAGTGACACGAGTTTTGCTCATGTTTTATTCCCCCACTGAGCAGTGACATGCAAGCAAACACAACACAGCATGACATGAGGGCCTTACTTTCTTGTGTACTTTTGGGGGCTGGTGGTTTCCGCGTTGCCCAGTTAGTTCTGATCTGGCGGCCTCCCAACCACTGGCCTCCCATGTGTACAATAGCGTTTTCTGCATCCTGGGGACACCAAAACAAAGGTTACAACACTTCCAAGCAAGAAGCTACTTCTAAGAAAGACCTGGGTGTCTGTTAATTCTGTTGACAAAATCAGTAACAGTACTAAGAAGTGTAGGAAACTCAGAACAATCCCAGCAAGCAGCCAAAAATTAACTGACACAAAGGCAACTGGTTACAGAGAAGGCCTTCAGAAGTCATCTGATAAAAGCTTCCTCCCACCCATTTTCTAAACACAGGTTAGAATCCAACTGCAATCACACACATACTACCTGAACATATGCCACATATATATATACATACACACATATCTATACCATATATATGTATACTATACAAGCACCTCTATTAGAATATTCAAAAGCTGCCCAAAAAAGTGCACAAGTCATACAGATGTCAGAAGCAATTACTGAAATAAAAAACTATCATTGGAAAAAAAATAATAAAAAATTTGCCAATTGATCATACTAAAAACGAAGAAGTATATTTAACAGTAACAGACGAAAAGTCAAAATACTTGAATAGTCAAAATCCCTCACTAGAAAATATTTTAGATATAACCTAAGTAAAATGTACACCATGCAGTAGGTGTTTGCAAAAGACCTTGTATAAGATCTAAATGTGGGGGGTTTTTTCAGAATCTTACTGTGCACTCAACATAACAGATCAAGTTTAGGTAGACAAACTCCAAGTTCTGGGAGGGCTAAATGGTAGTTACAAAGCAGCTGTAACGCTGAGATACAAACGACTGAGTGTCTAAGTTTGCTTTTATTTATTATTTGCACACATCCTCCTGTCTGCTCTCTGCAGACATGCAGTAGATGTCTGAATAGACTGCTCTGTAAGTTCTCTAAATATTAAAGTTCTCTAAAAATTGCATGAACACACACAAGAGTTCACGGCCCACGTGGCTTAAATTCTTATCTTGAACATGACTTAGAAAACTATCTAAGTTCACACTGGAAGCAGAAACATTGAGTAAGCAAGGGATAAGTTTGCTAACACCTGCAAGAAGCAATTTTTTCCCCAGCTGCTTGGAAAGAAGAGAGGCAGAGCAAATAGTCCATGTTTGGAATGCTTTTCCAAGGGCACAAAGTTACATCAAAAATCCGCCAAGCACAAGGGCCAAAGGAAACAAGGACCAGTTACAGGTGAGCTCTCAGCATCCTCCTGCCTCACACTGAAGGCTTCTCTTCTCAACACTCTTCTCAAACTCACTCAGGACCTTGATATTTTTAAGTTTTAATTACACAGAGTGCTCATTTTGAAAAATATACAGAAGTGAAATTATGGAAGATGGCCAATAATAATAATAATAATAATAACAACAACAGAAAAAACCCTAACAGACAAAACCAAATCACCAGACAATAAAACCCCCATATTTATTCAAGCACCCTTCTCTCCCAAAACATAGTGAATAAGTTACAAGCTGAGTAGGAAAGGAAACTACCTCTAATGAATCTTGCTGCTAGTTTTGAGGATCACAGCTGTGACAAAAATGGAACAGAGCCCAGGTCCCAACTGATCCAGTTTAACACAGGAGTTTAATTTGCTCTTAACTGTGGAATGCATTAAGACCTCAGGCTGGAGTACCTGAAGTCTGGGAACATACCCAATTCCCCAAATGTAGAAGAATGACAATAAATTCTCAAAAACAGGCCTTAAACTACAAGCTCAGGATGGTTGTACCATAACCCTCCAGGTACAGCTGCTGTGTGAAAGAAGAGCAACCAGGACATAAAATTTAGAAGTACTTATTAGTGCTACATTTAGAATTCATGCAGCAATTCTGTAGAATAAACACAAATTTTAAATTGGAGTCTTCATGGCTCAGTCTGAAAAGTATCCACTGACTTTCATTCCATGACTGCTGCAACATTTCCCCTCCAGTCACAGAAGCTGAACACAACTGTAAGGTAAGGGAAGAGGGTACAAGGAAATAAAAGAGCTATTCCTTATCTATTGCAGTTGTAACAGGGTCAACAAAAAACAGGGGAAAAATACACTAAATCAAGGCACCCAATTGCAGTATCTTATGGCATCTGCACATCTGAAGGAAAGAAATTCCAACTTTTTCTTCTGATTACAACAGCTTCTGTTACAGAAGAGCCAAAGAGATTCCTGGCAGGTAAGACTTTTGACCACACAAACAGGCTTTATATGCTAAAATGCTGAACTGTGTGTGCTTTTCCTAGACATAATATTTAAGGAAAATGATTAAGTTTTCCCATGTTGTCCTAGTTGTACATACAGCTCCTGTACATGTAAATTGATTTCCCTTGGTGAAGTTAATAAATAGCAAACACATAAACGAGCAAACTAAAACAGGAAAGCAGGAACTACTTTAAATCTCCACTGTGATTACTCACCAGTTTGTTATAAAAAGATACAAAACCATAGCCTTTTGACTTTCCAGTTGCCATATCTTTAACTACCCGTGCATCCCTGTGAAAAGAAGCACAGCTATATGAGGGCAATATTAATAACCTGCAAAATAAAAACTAAAAGGAACCACACACACTGTATTGTGAGCATAATTTTTTCTTATAAATTCAGTTAGCCCTAAAACTACAGTCATTCCTGAACTCTCCCCTATTGCTTCTTTACCTGTTAGAAAAAAGCAGTAGGACAAAAAAAATAACATGTAATAAACATGCAACCTATGCACATAACCTATGCTGGCTATAACTAGAATGTTCAAATTTGAAGTATAAGAGAAACAAAGTTTCCTTTTCTAATATTCTATTGGCTAGGGTCCTCTAAGGTTTACTGTTCTATAAATTACTGTAACAATTCTATCTAATTTACCATGCATTTTCTAAATAGTTAAATGTCTTCTGCCTAGTGATACAAAATATATGAAATATTAAAAAAATCGAAAAAGAGGAAAAAATAGGAATTAAAAGGCATACATGGCCTGTTAACAGATTTCTTTATTTTTCTTGGTCAATTCTCTACCATCATTTTGGAGTTTGGGTAGCTGTAAATTTTGAAAAATTGACATTTTCAGAAATTTAAGAAAGGAGAATAAAACTAACAACAATGCTAAGCACACCAGTACGAAAACAACAAATTTACACAGAAATTTTAGTGAGTAAGTTAAAATGATTGGAAATATAGAACTGCACTGAATATAGAATGTTAAAATGTAAATACTAAAATATGTATATATAAATAATGTATAATAAGAATAAATAGAAATGAGAAAAAATCTACAACTGAGTTCCAGTGTGCACAGTTCCTTGCAGTTAGCCTTCAAGATCCTGTCCATTCTTATGAGCAATTCTGCAAAATAACCAGAATGCTATTACTTTTAATTGTGACTTGGACTTTAGAAAAACTGCAGGTCTCAGGTATAAATATAGATCGAGAAACAGAAACCTGAATTATTCTCTTTAAATTGATTTTTAAAACAGTACTACTTACCACATTAAGAGACAAAAAGCAAAGTAAACAAAACAGCAGAGGTAAGAAATAAGATTTATGATTCATTTAAAAATACGCGTACAGAACAAGAGAAAAATAAGAATTTTGTTCTTAGAAATATATTCCTGTAAAGTAGTACAAAAACCTTCATGTGCAACTTTTAAAGATTTTTATAAAGATAACGTGATAGAAGATTAACACTTTTTTTTTCAGAACTCTTAAGCACATATATATTTTAGCACTCACAAGGATTCTTGTAATGTTCAGTATGTTCAATTAGGACACCAGGTGATTCAGCATCACCTGAATTGTCTATGAGAAGTTTAAAGAAACATTTTCTTAACTGGCAGAAATGTGCACATATTATAAAGCCACCATTCTTTAAGATATTATAATCTTAATTCATCCCATTATTATCCAAAAAAAGGAGATTTCATTCTCATAAGTACCAGCTTTTTTCAAGACATTCACAAGTTATTAACTGGCTGCTTCACAGAATTATATTCCAATTGCCCAATTTTCCATACTGCCTATGAAATGCAGTATGAACCCCCAAGAAACACACAAGGATAACACAGATACCAGTTTTTAAGTCACTGCTCTGTACATCAAATTCTCAACACCAAAAAGTCACACTTAGGAACAGTAATTAAATTTTAATAAAAAGTTGAAGGACATCAGCATATAAATTAGGTTAAAAGCACATTGCTTGCAGCAAATCAGAGCACAATTACATTACTGTATTTACAACCATGAGAGATACTGAGATACAACCCCTCTTTACTACCCACCCATCCACCCACCCCAGCAAAATTAATAACATCAGAAAAATTCTCTCATTAGATAAGAAATAACATTTCATCTTAGAAACAAATTCTATCATATTTTCTGACTGCTATTGGAAATGTTTATGATGATACTTACGATATTTTACCGAAAGGAGCAAATGCTGACTTGATGTCTTCTGTTGTTATTTCTGGACTTAAATCCCCAACGAACACATGGAAGTGATCTGAAAATAAATAATTTACTAATCAAATATTTAACTGCTATCTAAAGCTGTAACTCCTGAGAAGGTGATGTTCTGCACACGGGACTGGGAACCAGGAACGCTCAGGACTCCATTTGATGAGCAGCAGCAATTTAATCTGTCCACTCCTGTTTCCCCAGTTGTAAAGCACAAACAGAAGAATTAGTTTGCAAAATTCTATTAAACACAAGATGGGAAGGAGAGAAGTTATGTTTCAATGCATTTATGACAAATCATTACCAGGCTGTGAAGTATTTGTGTAGAAGTGATACTGTGGCATTACATTACTTACTGGATGTATCTTTTTTCTGGCTACTTGGTGTTGTTGCCCAGTTTACTTTGACCTCCTGAAAACAAGTATAAGATTTAGTATGAATTCACAAAATTATTACATCAATAAGTTCATTCAAGGGTGGGTTACAACTGTCAATGTTTACAAATCATCATTCAGTATAAACCACCATCATAACTAGAACATCACAAACGATACATTTCTTAAACAAGACACACTTTTTTTAAAGTCAGTATTTTAAAAATATTATTCTAACAGTACTAAAACTTGGTAAACATCTTCAACAGCTTTATTAATACTTTCACAGAAATCTATATTGTTTAAATCTAAGATTACAATGTAAGCAACTTACCTTTCCCAAAATTTTTCTCCCATTCATAGCAGCTAATGCAGCAGCTGCATCTCTGTGTTCATAAAATTCCACAAAGCAATAAGGGTCATTGCTTGTATGCTGCAAAACAGAAAATCCAACAGAAGAGTTGACCCTTCTGCTATCGGGTTGCTGAGAAGAAAATCCAGGAAAATATATTACTCATAGCTAGAAACTTTCAGAATGATTTGCATCAGATTTATGAAATTGCCTTTGACATTACACTTAAATGCAAGAATTATTAAGGAGGACTTTTTCTTAAAGGTCTAGCAATTTCTGAAGATAGTTTACTTTGAATGAGGACTGAAGTTTACTGAACTAAAAATAATTCAACTGCCAGAAAAGTGATCTGCAGAGTGGATGGAAGGGGGATAGAAAGGGGGAGAATGGAGAGAGGAACAAAAATGATCAACTGCCTCATGTGCACACTCAAAGCTTGAAAGGTTTGTTCCCCAGACACATTTTCACCAATTTTCTCTTGTCCTATTTAAGAAATCTTTCCTTTTATTGACTGAAAATCACTAGCAGACAGCAACCTAGAAGTTGCATATTCTCAGTCTCAAGTGAAAAATGCCACACCCAACAACTGGAAAATAATCTTTAAAAAAAACCCCAAACTCAGAACAGTTTGACTGAGGGAAAAAGGTACTAATCAGGTTGTTAACCCTGTTAAACCTCAGGTACAAGTTGTTTTTGCAGGATGGACTATCAAATCACCTTTAAAATACCAATTGACAGAGATCACCAAAGGCATTAATGTACCAGAGTATAAAGTGCAAAGACCAGAAGAGTTTTCTGAAAAGTTGATCAAGTGGAAAGGGTGACTAAAATGCCAACATTAACACTGGATTTGATCTACCCCAAAGATGTAACAAATACAAAAACTCAACCCAAAACATCTGCATTAACTGCTCTGCAGCTATAGAGACCAAAAGGTGATAAACACTAATGTTAAACTAAACAAATTACTTCTCCCAGGGATAGGGAAGGGTCTAGCACTTAGAGAAACTGCTTTGGCATCAGTGTTCATGTATATCAAGCTGCCCCACTCCAGGCTGAACACAGCTCTAAGAGGAGGCCTTTTCCAGTATTCCTGTGTATCTTCTGACAACTCTAACACACTCACACCCACGAAGAAATGCTAATCCTTCCCCCTAAAACTGGACTGTACACCTTCAAACATAGTTCTGTCTCCATCTGAACAAGGGAAGCTATTGAGATGCAACAGTTGAACAGATCACAAGCCCTTTATACCCCTAAAATGACCAAGCAGTCTGAAGTCAACCTTCTAAACACTGTCAGTACCTGATGCTCAATGAACAGTTGGGAGCAAATGTACCTGACATCATAAAAAAAGAGTTTCAGTCACAAAGTGCTCTACAGGCAAACTCACCTCAGATGCCCCAAAACAGAAGGCCTTAATTCATCCCTCTTCCCCCAGCACTCTGGCAAACCCATTTAAGGCCTCCTTAGCAAATTTAATGTTGTTTATGCTTCAACTGAAGTGCAACTTTACTTTTAGCTTGTAGGAAGGTCTTTAGCACTGAGAACTTGTCTGCAGACAAGTTTGGTGTTCAAACTACCTGCAAATGCTGTCCCACCACCCCCTGAGTATTATATACCAGTATTATATACCCCCAGAACAAACACTTGGAATCTCTAAACACTTGACTTGCTCATGGCACATTTCTGCAAATGAAAAAGAATGAGTTGATACAGCTGCTAAAAACTGAAAAAAAAAATCACAAAATTCTTAGAACATTCAGGTACAAACTGGGCTGATGGTGGTAATAACACTGGACAGGTAAGAACCACTTGAACATGACTCAGTTCCCAGGAAAGGTTTCCCACCCACTGGCTGGAAGGATGAGCAGCATGCACAGGTACTTTGACAGCTGCAGGCCAGTCCCAGTGCAGAATCCAACCTGCACTTGCTGAGTGGTTGGGGGCAGGGGCTCAGCTCAGCCCAGTGCAGTCACCTCTGTGTCACTGAATACAGCTGGAGCAGTTTTTGTTTACCTACTTACTTCATAAAGATGTCCCACTTATGTATATCTTAAAACCACAAAGCCTCAATCAGGGTAAAGTGAGTGTTAGAATTTCTCCTCTGGTTCTCAAGAAACCAAACTGATCTAACAGCTCTCAATCAGCCTGAGGTTGGAGCAGCAGCACCTTATTTCTGGAGAGCATGACAATCAAAACTGTTTCTTCAGAGAAAAACAACTGTGCTCTGTCAGCCTTCTGTTACCTTCCTCCAGCAAACTTACAGTAAATGTGGCACAACTCAGTGTCACATGGGAAATTATTAGTCCAGACAAAGATGAGAGTGAATAAAGAAGCACTAAGTGGTTAATAAGGAGCTAAAAACCAACTAACAAAAAGCTGTGTGTCACAGTGAAAGGAAAACAAGTCCACAGAGGAGTTTCTAGCAGCATTCCTAAAGAAGTCTGGGCACAAGACTTGCCTTTTAATATTTTCATTAATAATGTTAGCAAAAAACTAATGTGACTGTCCTCAGGAAATCTGTAATTACCAGTTAGTATAAAGCATAAGAAGCAGTAAAAGTGGGAAGAGAGCACAGAAACCAGGGTTGAAGGACCAAAGATTGAGCCTAGCAGAGGTTCTGATTAGTCCCTGTCTGCTCCAAGTTTATCAGATGTAAATGCAGAAGGAAGGAAAAATATCAGGGAGCCAGAAGTTTTCTAGGATGTGTCAACAAGCTCACAGAAATGGTCACCAACCCATTGCAAACACCAGAGCATTTGCAATGGAGAGGAGAAAGTATTAATACTTACCAGCACTTTGTACAAAAGAACTTATCTGGAATTCTATGGAAATTTTGTCACTTTGTTTCAAGGAAAAATTAATTTAAGAACAGACAGGTGCAGACAAGAGCTATTTTTAATGGCACAGAAGAGGCTCAGGAAGAGCCAAACTTATTTTGAAGGATTTTTTACTTTTCATCCATAGCAAAGGATCAAATAAAATGAGAAATGTACAAAATAACCACAAATAACGCTTGGTACAAAAAGGTTTCTGATCATCAGAACAATGTGGTTCTGAAAAGAGGTGGTAACAATCTTTCAGATGAAGTGGAATCTCATCACCAGCTGATGAAAGGCAAAAGCACAGGACTGCACACAACAGGTCTCTCCTGCAAAGTCATCCCCAAAGCCCAGCACAACCAACCTAAAGAAACCCATCACCAGTAAGGTCAAAAGAAGCCCTCAACTCACTCCATTTATTTTGGACAACTCAGGATAAAGTTACACTGCATTTGCTACCCCCCTAGATGTGGAAGGCCTTACCTCTGTTATCATTTTACAGCTTTTGCATGGTCCAATCTGGCTGAATAACTGAAGTATGAGAACTTCAGTCACATCTCTGGAGAGGTTTCCTACATAGCTACACAAGGAAACAAAACAAACAAACAAAAAAGAAAAAAAAAAAAATCAAGATTTTAAACCAGAAATTTTCACCTTTTCAAATGTAATTACAATTTTAAAATCTTAAATTACTATGAAAAAAATCTCCCTTTAAACATTGCAGACATCTTAAACACAGTATTTACAAATTATTTCCTATAGTTTTAACACAACATTCATATAGTTTCTAAATTATAAAGTTGGCCACACAACTGAGATCCTGAAGCTTGATTCAGACAGAATACTGGAGATCAATATCTAGTGCCAATCATTTCCTTGGCAAAGAAATGTCAAAAGCATGAAGAACATTGCTCAAGAAAGTTGGGCAGAACAAGCAACCAAATGGGCAAAGGTATTTTAAGTTTCACTTCCCACTGAACATCTAATCCAGAGCACTTCTGAATTTGGGGATGAACCCACATCCAACTCCCAGGAGCTCAGGAGCAGCTATTGGACAAACTGTGCTGCCTTGCAAGCAACCAACTCAACTTTTCTGTTTTCCTGAACATTTGGAAAACCAGCCCACTCACCAACACACACGGCAATTTATGCAGCACTATGCCACAGGAATGCTCTGTACAGCATCTATCTGAACAGCTCCCACCTCTGTTACACTCCCCAAAATTCTGACAGGGTTATTTCAATATCACACAGATTTCTGTGTTTGTTTTTTTTTTTTAATTTGTAAATCTTGAGAAATAATTCCAAGTTTTGAAATATTGATCAAGTTCAGATAAGACTCCTAGATTTCCCAGGTCAAAGATGACTGAGAAAGTCATGAATGCAAAACGAAATTCTTCTTTAAAATGTGACTAATTTGTAATCCAATTGTAACCAGAGTGATCAGTTAAGAGAAAGGCTTGTCACACCAACAGATGTCAAAAGCCATCAGCAGAGGGGCATTCCTCATCCTCACAAATAAGCCTGTCAAAGCAGAAAGTATTCAAATGCAACCAATAAAGTGAGCAGAACTTTTTGTGATTTAGCTGTTGAAAGAATACACACTTTACTCCTTTTGCTCTGATTTGTTATAGAATGCCATAATACAGTAAACTAAAGTCAGTCTGAGCTGGTAAGACACTTCAGTAAACATAAATGTGAGCCAGCATTTCTTAGTCTGTGCACAGACCAACTTCTTTTGAGTCAGGTAAAGAGCTGGGCACTGAAATCGCTGTAACAGGCACCCTTTAACATTTTGGAAAAGCAGTTCCTACATGTGACAACTGGACTTTCATCTGCCTTTGGCAGAATTAGAAAGGACACTGTTTGTTTTCATCTGAGCACCACACAGCATTATCTACAGATGTGTGTTGATGTGGCTCTTTAAACACTGTGAAACAGTTCTGCAGTTTCTCAGTCAGGACTTCAACGCTACACAAGATCCAGAGTGAGTTTCTTACATAAATCACATCACCTGAATATAGGAACAGCCATTAAACCTTTCACATACTCGATACTTTCTTACTAAATACATAGGAGTTAACAGAAGTCATTAATACAAGTGTGTATCATTAAGAAGCATTTCAGCACAGAAGTTAAAAACTGCAAAATTCTGTAAGACTTACAGGACAAACTGTCCATCTCACTGACTTTTCAGTTCTCTGTTCTGAAACTCAGCAGTTAAACATTTATCCCTGCCTTCCTTCTGAAATATTAACTCAATTTTTGTTAATCATTCACCAAGATTGAATTGTAAATCACTAAAACTTTAAGTGAAAATATTAACCTTTGCAGATGCTACTAAAATCACATGGAAAATATAATTGCCAGTGGGAACTCCCATATAAAGGGTCAGCAGTGCTGTAAACTTATTACTAGTGCTTGTTTCCTTTTTACCCTGTAGAACAGTATTAATTAATACCAGGCTTTCACAGCACACTGAAACAAGCACCTGGACACTGGCACTGACATGGAATTAAATACAGTGAAGTCCTATTACCATTATTTCTACTGCAAAATCAGACGCAGTAAGTAAAATTAATACTACCAAAAACCTAAATATCATCCTCTTCTGTATAATATTAATACATACTTTGGAAACACAAGAAGTCTGGAAAGCAATCTGAAGAAGTCTTCTTGGTCTGACCAAAAAAAAAAAAAAATCCAAAATAAAAAGGCCAGGAAAAGCCATTCCTCAGAAATCTATTCAATTAAGGGCAGACAAATTACACTGACTGCTGGAAGAGATTACCAGCTGGTTTTCCAATACCACTACATCTTCAGCAAGGTAGCTGTGAGTGAGACTGTTGCATCACAAACCTTAGCTATGAAACAGGCTGTCTCTTCATAAAAATCAGCAGTGTAAATCTGGACCACCTGCCTGCTGCATCCAGATGGGATGGGAGATCCTACCAGTCCATTAATTCTCCAAATGCAATGATAAATACTGCCTTGGTGTTTAATATCACCAGTCAGAGGCATTCCTACCTTTCACAAGCTGCTAACACTCCAAAACTTGAGTAATACACACGCTGAGAACAGTGCACACTAAAGGTTCATGTCACAAGGACAACATCCAGGGAGACCCAAATCCCTCAAAATGCACGTTAAACATGGGAATACAAACATCTACAAATTTGAAACAGTACACTAAAAAGTAAGGCTTGATGATTACTTTCATGTCTTTAAGTAGGTTCAGTAACGTCACCTCTTTCAGTACAGTCAGAGATGACTTTAAAAAAAACCAACATTGAAGCAAACACCTTCAGTGTAAATGTTTGAATATCACAGAACTGTTGAAAAATGTATATTCAACACATTAGGAACAGACAGCTTACCTTTCTGGAAACACAACACCTGGCTGAGCTGATGCTATCACCCACCCTCCCCAGCCAGCCTGCTGCTGCACCAGCTTTCCCTTTCCTAACTTCATTCTACTTTAGGAAATCAGAATTATCAGAACCACACCCCAAGAAAACATAAGACTCTCAACATGCTATTATATGTTATTTTAGTATTTTTGGACTGATACAGTCTAGAGCTTAAAAAAAAATTATAAAACCCAACAAAAAAGCACTTGGTATACTTTTATAGGATGCTGTCATGGTTAATGTGGCAGGGCAGCAAAAGTTGTGGTTTTCTGCATACAGGCAATAGTGTTTGCTCCCTTCTGCAAGTCTAAAGCACTTAAATACCAATTAAGAAGCAGATACACAAAGAAAACCCAACCCATAGACAGATATCCTGATACAAATTTCAATATATTACACTAGAATAACAAACCACTTGCAATTCAGAGACCTTGTAGAACTATCAAAAGAATACAAGAAGCACATTATCAGTAAGCAATGAGTTTTAGAATTCAACTCTGTCTTTCTACTTGAGTGCAAAAATCCTCTTTGTGAAGGTAAAGAGGTTTGTACTGTATCCTAGACAGGGAGGGAAGGGATATTTACAGCCACTACTTTTAGTTCCACAAAAGTCCCCTACATACTTTTTTGAGGTAACATAGTAAATGTGATTTCACTGTCACACAGACAACATGCAAGAAATGTCAGTTCCCATATTTAAAAGAAGAAATGGTGATAAGCAATAAGGTAAGTGATGAAGAGCCCAGAGAAGTTCTAGCAGCATCTCTGCCTAGTGCTAGGGAGCTACTGGAAATAAAATAATGCCACGGAAAATCCACTCTGGAGCCTCCACTGCAGCCAACATTCCTCTGCAGGAGAGCTGAACTGAGGGAAGGGTGAGAGAAGTGAATCCCAGTAAAGTCTTACTTTGCACCCCATCCACATTCCAGGACACTTGGAATACACTCCTTGGCAAGGCTGATGAGATAGATAACAACTTGTATGTATTCAGTGACTGCTTGTGAAGTCACTGAATACCTACAAACCACACAAAACATTCCTAAAACAAGAAGAACATTCAAATTCGGAACTTTTCTTCTGGTTATCAGTGAGAGCTGATAACAGCAGCAGCACATCAGGTTTCCAATAGCTTAGTTTCCACTTGAAAGTAGAAGCAGGACTTGGACAGAGCCTGTGAGATCTGATAGCACTCAGAAAATAGAGCTTTCAAGTGTTCTATTAAAAAAAAAAATAGAAATCAGAAGCCCACAGCTCATCTTAGGACCAGCTAAAAAATTACATGTGACAGATCCTACAAAAAGGCTCTCCTTTCTGGAAAGCTTTTTGGCAGAAAATATGGAAGGTTATTCTTCACATTTCTATAAAGGCCTAAGAGTTATGAAATGTGAGAAATAAAAATGCAAATGGTGTCTATTTTCTATACTAAGCCTGAGAAAATATTCTGGATTCTTAGAGGTTTTTGACAGACCTCTCATGATTGCAAACAACGTAACAGTCCTGTAACTATTGCAAAGGGAAACGATCTTTATTCCTGAGATATTCAACACGGGCATAAATGTGAGGTGGTTGGGTAGGTTTTTCTTTCTATAATTAAAAACCATTGCTTGCAACTGTTAAAAAAAGAAAATTCCTTCCCAACTTACAAGGTTAGTTTTTCACTCCTGAAGGAATAAATGAAAATCCAAAGACATTCATAATGTATTGCTTTAACTATCAATCAAGTGCTTTTGCACATGGTCAAATGGCTACTGAAAGAATTTGTTCCTCACTTCCCCCCTCCCTAAAATAAAAAAACAAACAAACAAAGAAAACTTAGAAGTTCAATTTACAATATTTTCAGTGAGTTTTATTTAGGAGATCACAACTGCTCTACATGCAAAGCATTACCCAGGATACTAATCTTTAAAACACAACTTGCAATTCTAAATTTAAAGATATTTCAGGTGAAAGTAGGGACAAGAGGGTGATGTAAGAAATGCCACAGCAAAATTTTTGTCTTCCATGCAAGAAGCTTTCAGATAATTACAGGAAAGCAACGCCATGTGACTGTGGTTACTACAGAACTCCCAGGAAATTAATGTATATGCTGTTTATTAGTTTGACAAATTAAACAGTCACATGTGCAATAAAACATTTTGGGC